AATCAAAATTTGACAGCTACCAGTAAAGATTTGCATTCTGTTTCATCGCCGCATCGTCTACATGTCTTCATGAAAAACCTGAAAGCTCTGTATTTCAAAGTTGACTCTAGCAAAACATTTTTGGATAGGTAATTTTGAGCTCTATCGAAATATGCAGGAATATACAAGGTGTCTCATTAAAAAATAGTTTTTCATCAATAACTATTGATATCTCATATGACAAAATAAGTTCTTTACACCATTGGACTCTAAGTAAAAAGTGCTTTGGAAATATTTTGATAGAAACAAGTTTCTGACAGGAGAAAAGTTACAGTAACTTTTCCAAAATGCACATTTTCGAAAAGCATGATGTAACTCAAAAACTATGAGAGATATCGATATGCGATTTTCACCATTGAGTTTGTCATAAAATTTGGCCCACTCTGTCAATGATTCTCGGTTGTTCATCCATCCGGCTTCGATTAACTAAGTGCAAGCCTTCATGTAAACAGAAGCTCTCTCTGATTTAATGCAGGTTGGATATAATCCAACGCCGTTCATGGTATTATCCAGTGAAGTGGTTGTTTTCTGATAGAAGTCAGTCAATTCAACCTACTGTGTAGGTATATCCGAGACGAGCTTGAACATTTGAGGTTCATTTCAATAGATTTAATTGTTTGTCTTCATTTTTCATTCAAAAAAGAGAAGAGTGCTATATGAAAGTAGCTGTTTTATTTTTCCCCACTGTATTGCAATTGTTTCTCAGAATGTAAATATTTCAATGGCCAATAGTTTGCCACCAAAAATTATTTGCTGGGTAACAATAAAATCCTTCAATGTTCTACCTTTTTGTGGATCATTATTATCTCATTCCTATTCAAGTACACAAACAGGATTACAGTGCCTGAAAATGAAACTCGTTGTCTCGCGTAGAATTGAAATAAATTGATTTTTTCTCCGCTCTCACCTTTGGAACCTTTACTCATCATTTGAAAACCTACAGACGATGCTCCTGCACTTTGCCCAAATATGGTTACTTTTTCTGGATCGCCACCAAAATACTTGATATTTTTCTGGACCCACTTGAGTCCCATCTGTTGATCTTTCAAACCGTAGTTGCCAGGTATTATTTCGTCTCCAGTTGTCAGAAAACCTATAGAAGATATTTTTGTTAGTAATTATCAATGGCAATGTGACCTGCAACATTTCTTAAAACACTTGACGATACAAAATTAGAATTCATTAAGGTTTCTTCATGTCGTGGAAATTCAAAACATCAAGCAAATAATCCCAAATTTTTCGACGGGTGGCTTCCAAAAAGTCAGTAAATCGAGCCCGATCAACTTTTCACCAGGTTACGAGTTACAAATTACTTCTGATTTTTTTAATACTACTGAAGTCCCACCACCTGGAACTCTCTCTCGATTATTTATAATTTTAATTTAACGCCGAAAATAGGCCTCCGCGGGTGGATTTGGATATGCAGACGCGGCATTGGAAGCGAGTACGTCACAAATATCAAATATTAATTGAAAAATGTATGAAAATTCGCTTGTATTTTGAATACTATAAAAAGTTGGTTAGTACCTCGTCCACTAGATAGAGTAGTTGTTTTCTGATAGGCGTCAGTCCATTAAACCTACTGTGTAGGTATATAGAGACTGGCTTGAACGTTTGAAGTTCCATTTGCTTTAAAATGACTCTCGTTGGAAAACAAAATTGTGAAATCATTTTTTTAAAACACTCACACAGTCAAATGAATGAAGCTAAAATGTTTTCTTCAACTTACCGAATGTCTTTATTTGATACAAAAACGGGAATATGATGATAAATATAAACAATATAACAATACGTCGATTTTTCATTCCTTGTTAATATAAAAAAATCATAATAAACAAAATAATACTTTTTTTATTTTAACTTTATCTTATTAAGTACACTAATGAATAGTGCTCCACGAAGCCAAACATTTTTTGTTGTTAATTATTGATGTTGTTGTTAATTATTAATTACCTAGTTTTTTCAATAATTCACTTCTAAGATTTTTTTCATAAAGAATCAATTTTTTATAATATCCACAGTACATCCAATTTCAACTGGTTACATTAAAATTATAAATAATAGAAGAAGAGTTCCGGAAGGTGGGACTTTTTTTGGAAATATCCCCCTCTTCGAGGATGTTTTCTAAAAATTACTTAATTCTTTATAGTTTTTGAAATGTTTCCAAAAACACGAAAACTTTTTTTTACATCTTGATTTCTTTGAAACTCCCGCAATTTTTTATGTGCTTCAAATGATTTAACTTGTGTACTAGTCTAGCATGGCGATTAAGAAAAAAACACAGGAGTACACAACCCTTCAATATCATAAGACCCTCCATTTCTATGACCCCCGTATGCACCCCCTCCGCGACGAGGGATGCAACATTATTGTCTCTTTGGTCTAAATATACTAAAAAAAATTAAATAGAACTGGCCAATATTTGATGAAAATGTATATTGATTAGGAGTATATAAGCTGACTTGTGGCGCTTGTCCAAAACTATGTATTGGTCAAACAGGGAGGAAGTTTTCCAAGAGAATTAGGAAACATAAAAGTAGTTTTGTAAGACCAATTCCACAGTTGCAAACAACCTTTTATCGGAAGGGCATGAGTTTTATCATGAATACGACGTGTTACATTTAGAAGTGGAAGGTTTGAAACTCAATCTTTTTTAGAATGTTCAGAAATCCATAGATTTGAAGATACGGGTAATTTACTGAGTGACCAAATATAATTAAATAACTCCTCGTAACTAAATATTTTTTCAAATGTGAAAACTGGTACAGAATCTCAGGTAATTTACTTCGTTATACATATTCAGTTACACATAAAACATCAAATGGCCCGATTAAGCTCAGGTACTTGGAATTTAGGGACTTCAAATTGTGAAATTAGGTATATGAACCATTGATTATGTAGAATACAGTTAGTTAAGACACGTGCGTTTTTGTAAAACTGTTCAGTGAAAATCTCACAAAAAAGTGTTGACTATTAGTTTTATTTGTAAAACATACTCACCGAAAGCACCTAATCGATAATTCACAGTTACAACAATAACTCCACTTTCCAACAAATAATGAGGACCGGTGTATTCAAAATTAGCAGCACCAATTAAAAATGATCCTCCATGAATAAAATACATTACAGGAAGGGATAAATTGGTAGAAGGGTACTGAAAATATAAAATATTTGTTAGAAATCATTAATAGTTAACATTGCAATGCCTTTTTGTTATTGTCAAGTAAACACTTTGATAAACTATCTGTAAGGGCAGAAATATCATCCCAAAGAATAAATCAAATATAATTTCAATCAAGTAGAACCATTTATAAAAGCCGCAACACTTTGAGCAAGTTTCTGGAATTCTCTGTTTTAACGCCGCATCGTCCAAAGCCTTGTTGATCAAAGTGTGCGATTCATAGTCGACATGAAAATACTTAAAACCTTTGTATTTTGAAGATGACTCTAGCAAAATATCAAATGTGCCACCTACATTTTTGGAAAGGTTGTTTTAAGCTCTATTTAAATAGCTGTGAATGGCTCTCCAGTTTTCTGAAAGAACGTTCCCTGCAGATGGTCGTCGATGGATATCTCTCAAATACTTTCAGCACCTACGCTGGTGTTCCCCAGGGATCTATTGTCTCCAACCCATTTTATTATTGTATATCAACGACTCATTGGAAAAAACCAAGAATCCAATATATTGCTTTGCTGACGACAGCACACTTGTCTCGTCATTCCATTTGGATTCCAGACATCGGTTACAGAGGCACGTCTTCACCGGCAGCAAGAGGTTGCATATCTTAATGAGGATCTAGAAGTGATTTCGAATTGGGGTGAAATTAATCAGGTTCTATTCAATGCCACAAAATCCCAGGCATCGGTTTCCCCAAGAAGATAAATGTCTCCGAACCGGATATAATAATGTCAGGTCAGACAATTCCGCTTTCTGCTTCGATTAGTTTGTTGGGGGTTAAAATGGACACCAATAAGCTTTGTCACAATCTTGTCTCTGGAATTGCAAAGGATGCTTCTCAAAAGCTTGGAATACTGTTCCAAAACAGAAAACTATACACACCTCAACAACTTTTGATGCTTTATAAAGCTCCGATCAGACCTTCTTTGGAGTATTGTTCTCATGCATGGAGCATACCCTAAAGTTGCTGGATTCTATCCAGAAAAGAGCCATCCGCCTGATTGGAGACGCGAACATCACGTGCAACCTTGATAGCTCGGAACATCGAAGAAAGGTTGGAGATTTGCCTCTGTTCTTTAGATACTTCCATGGGAGGTGTTCAAGTGACTTGGCACATTCGTTTCACCAAGAGCGGTACATATCAGAAACACGCGACGGACTGTGGCTGCTCATCGTTTTGAGGTTCAACTCAGTACACCTCAAACTTCACTGTTCAAGAACTCTTCCATCTGGAAAACTGCATTGATGTGGTATAAACTTTCTGAGAACGTATTTCCAAATGAATTTATTCACCGGCGATTCAAATCCAATGTGGATTGCTACTTTCGCACAGGCATCGCTCTGAGAGCGCCTTTAGGCGCAGTGCTTGTGTTTTGTCTTCAAAAAATTATACAGAAATATGCGGAGTGTCTCATTAAAAACATAGTTTTCCGTCAATAACTATCGATTTCTGATTTGTGAAAATGAGTTTTCTACACCATTGAATTCTGCGCAAAAAAGTGTTTTGAAAATAATTTCATAGGAACGAGAAATTTTTGACAGAAAAAAATAAACAGAAACTTTTCAAAGGTGCACATTTTCGAAAAACATGCTGTAATTCAAAAACTATGATAGATACCGATATGCGGTTTTCACCATAGGGTTTTTCATAAAATTTGACCCTCAAACACAGCCATCAGTTTTCATATATCTAGTTTGAATTCAGGAGTTTCCCTTTAAAAGTGTGCAATTTGGCCTACTCTGTACAAGCAGGGTAAATTTAGTATTTCTTATTTTCTGAAAACAGGTTTACAGGACTGCATGTATCAGTGATACTTCTGATAATGTTTTTACAAGTCAAAAAACTTCACCTGCGTTGGTTGCCAACCCCGGACACGGACAGCATAGAACAACCTCGCTTCCACTTCAGCATAATATACAGTACGATGCAAATGTATGGAATAAATTCGATATTCACAAAAGGAGCGACTTTCGGAAGAAATCCAAAAACAGGTCAACTTTAATTTTTGACGGCCCATCTCATGATATTCATATGAAAGACGTTTCGTCACCGGTGTTGGCGTGATGACGTAATCGACAATTTTTTTAAATGCAAACAGGGGTCATNGAAACGTCTTTCATATGAATATCATGAGATGGGCCGTCAAAAATTAAAGTTGACCTGTTTTTGGATTTCTTCCGAAAGACGCTCCTTTTGTGAATATCGAATTTATTCCATACATTTGCATCGTACTGTATAAGTTTCAGTTGATCTGTGGCAATCACCCAGTAACCGGTCTATCTGTGTAACCAAATGCACAGGTTGCACAGGCGCCTGATCGTTTTCTTTCAGCTGTTTGCGTAGCATTAGCTGGGTTAGATGTTGGTTTTCCGTCGGGTATCTGCCACACGTACCTACAAAATTGTAGGCCCACTTGAGAGGCACTTTCATTTTTATAGACCCAATTAATTCTTTCGTACACTGGGGGTTATGAATATCTCCTTCATAAGCTGTTGTGTAGCATACTGAACTCTCCAAGATGATTATATATGAAGGTTCACAGGAAAAAATGATTGGACCTCTATAATTCAATCCGCATAGTGAAGGTCTACGGCCAAAAAATTTGCAGCCAAGGTCAAAGCTCAGATTGGATAGTTCACCAACCTCAACGTGCAACACGATTCTCTGTGGCTCTAAGTAACAGGTTCCAGAAAATCCACACCATAGACAAAGGTAACGTACAGGGCATGACCGACAGGAGAAAGCGGAAATGTTCGGGGAGCATTGGCGGGACGTTCATAACTTCGACCACAACTTGACTGATGAACAAAAGACTATACGAGACGAATCAGTTAAGGTTTGTTCTGGTTCCACGAAATTCAGTTTCTAGGACGTCAGGATCATGTGCAATTGATATAGAGCGTTCTGGTTTATTGAGGATAAGTTCGGATTGATGAATCCTTTGTTCTAGTTTCGACTGCGAAATGATCCTAAACTGTCTCGAACCATCCCGAACCGTTCTTGCTCTCGAGGCTGAACTGTTGAGAACTGTTCCCGTTGCTCATGCGCATTCATGTGGAAACTTGTTTGGGCTATTTTCTAGGATGTTTTTTCATTCATTCGATTCAAATAATTGATGATTGAGGTTAAATAACATTAGAACTGACTACAAGGATACGCTATATAACAAAATGGATATAATCAACAGTATTTTCTCGTCTTCATCTCTTCATATATATGATAGATGGCACAATGGTGTCCTCAAAATGTGTTCTGGTTTAAGCAAGTGTCCGAGACTATTTCGGACTATTTGAGATTTTTGCTTGTACAGATCAATAGATTCGAACAGTCGAAGAGGATGAACTGTCTCGTCTACCAGCGGATTCCGACGAACTGACAAAAACAATAAAAATACCATCAAAGAACAAAGCACTCGAAATGGACAAGGTCGATGCAGTTCTACTTGAGAAACTGCCGCGTAAGGTCCTAGTTCAGTTCATCTACATAATAAATGCAATCATCACATGGCAAAACTATCCGGTTAAAAGATTATAGAATCGAAAAACACTTATGTCTTGACAAGTTAATAATAAAATTGGATTGTTTAGAAACTCAGAATTACTAAATGAAGGATTTTGAAAGTAGTCCATTCAATTTTCTATTGAACTTTTTTTTTATATTTTTTAGTTTTAATAAATACAGTATAAAAATTTCAGAAAATATCTCTTCTGTTCCATAAAGATTACTCATTTGTAATAATTCAAAATAGTTGCCTTACAAACAAACATATATTCGATAAAAAATGCATGTATTTTACTGTTGATAAAAATATTCTGAGCAATTTAAAACAGTTTTCTAACAGCCAATTGTAATGTTCATGAGAAAACGTTTTTAGAACTTTGTTGGTGCTACGACTAATAATAATACAATTTATCTGTACTATAACTTGGGTCCATATAGAGAAGTACCTGGTTGATCTCCAATCATACACTGCTACAAATCAAATGCGATTTATTGAAAATGCCTGATGAAGGAGTCTTGAAGCATGAATTCGTAATCTGCGCCGGTACGAGTCACAGCCGGTGAGAAAATCAACAAACTCTACCTACCGTTCACATCATATTTCAACTTATTACAGGGTTTACGACATATTTTTGTGGAAAATGAAATATACCTACCATCACAGAAAAATTATCGAAATACTGAGGAATGTTGATAATATGAAAATTGAAATAAGGAGTTTGCTCATTAAATTCAAGTACCTTGCAGAATTGATAAAATTATTGTTGTAAATCATGCCCTCAAGAAAATAACGCTGGCCGTCACTGGTAGCCATAAACCAGTCCGACCGACTTTTCGCGAATGTTCGATGTTTGCTGCAGTTCCAGATGTGGCTTCTATGAAATTTCGATGAATTTTCTACCGCCTTCGATTGCCAAATATAAACGCGATCCACTCGCCTATCGAGACAGTCAAGTTTCGCGGACAGTGTGGTGCAGTGCAATCTAATAAGGCGATAGACATTCGAATAATAGTCGAAGTTGTAGTTAAGTGTTTTGTTGAAAAACGTAATATTATATTATAAATCGCCTTAGTACAAATCTTAGTTATCGTACGATATTTCAGGATAGGGCAGCCTCAAATAACCTAAAAAAATTATGCAAAAGTTGATTTAGAAAAAAATATCTTATGGAGAAATATTCATTATTCATGGAAATTATTATTTTTGATGTCAGGCAAATTTTTTCGCACGGTCACTCAGGTTGCCGTATCTCATTAGTTTCATTCAAACAAAATAATTTAGATTATTCCATGTAGAGTATTACGCCATTCTAATCAATAACACAACCAATTGAACAAATTCTAAATACAATTTCAAATGATTGTACTTACTTGTGGTGTATAGACGTTAAGATATAAACAATCCTCACTTTCGAAGTGACTTATATTTGGCACATAATTGTTGAAGAATTGTACGCAGGATTTATCATTGTAGGTTGCGTCCAATATGCCATTCCAATTGTTAGGAGGTAGAGGTTCCTTGAAAATAATAGAAATAGAAATTGAAATATTGTGACATGAGTTGAATTAAACAAAAAAAGGAACTGGTTAATTATTTTCAACTGTATTATTTCAACGATTGGGAAACACTTCATACTTACTCTGAAAGTGAAAGAAATAGAAATTGTAAAATTGTGGCTTGAGTTGAATCAAACGAAACAAGGAGTTGGTTAATTATTCTCGAATATTTTATTTTAACGATTGGAAAACACTTCATACTTACTCTAAAACGTAATTCTCCAACGGGTGGTTTGGCATAAGGGATTTGTTGAAAGGCGTAAAAGGATATTCCTCTTTGCGAATATTCTTTCCGTCCTCTTAGCTTTCCATTTGGAATAGTTACCAAAATATCTGCCACCTACAATATACATCATAACTGTTACAATTTTAAATGGTTGTTATTGTTGCTTCAAATTAATTTTGTTCACTCAGTATGTTAAATTAATTGATCATGATTTATTTATAAAAAAAGAAGATTCTGACATTGACAACAATTTTGAAAAGTTATAAAATGAAGATGTCCACTTGAAACGTTTGATTCCTGGTTTATTTCGACTTCAAATCAAAGAAATTCACAGTAGGACTGACTAGTCCGAACAGTTGTACATTCAGAGTTTGGGCCAATCTTGATATTCGTTTTAAGATTTGCTCCTCATAAGAACAACGCAAACCAAATAATATTCCGGAGAATCAAGTGCCATATTCTGAAGGAAAAATACGGTTGAATTGATTGATTGAATGTTAGAAGTTTGGCCGTCCATTGTCTGAAATGATGTTAACGGCTATTTTGAGAGGAAAACAAATATATAAACAAACAGTGGAGAAAGCATTAACATAAAATAATCAAGAGAAATGATGGGAAAACGACAAAAAAATAAGAAACAGATTTCAAACAAAGTTACTTCACAACTTGATGAGTTCATGTTATTGTATTTAATTTCAATTTGTGTTTGAATATAATTGACATTTCGCTCATTGTTCATCATCGATTCATTTTCATTGCGAATCACAATAATTGTTTTCTCTACAAATTATCATTCTCACAATTCTTGCTTATTTTTTGACTGACTTCTGCTTTAAGTCATCCTGCCCAACTTTTCTAATAGGGATTCGACGAGTCTCCATGACAATTTTCATCACTTTCTCAACATTTTTATCAGTTGTTGATGTGCTGGGGTGTCCAGGACAAACGTTGTGATTCACATCATCTCGTGCTTGTATCGCCAGTAAACATTTTTCTGACTCATAATAGATACAATCACCGTTTGCCACTGTCAACATCTGAAGTGTTTTTGAACACTCAATTCCTTTTTTCACACGAAGTTTGATTTCATTATTCGATGTGTTCAAAAATACATTTTTCACCAAATTTTGTATTTGAAATGTTATGATCAAAGTTGTTCACATTGGTTGGCTGAATTGACTACAAGTTGAGACGTATTTTTCCTACACTCCGTATGAAATAGGATTTAAGTTCCGTTCTGAAATAACAATCACCATACCTTTCAAACGATAGATGACAATCATGTACATCCTCTTTTTTGGTTCTCTAGATACGTCTAATACACCATCGAATATGGAATACCCTGTATATGAGAGTAACACTCCGAACAGGATCAGAGAGGAAATCCATCGTGGTATCATCCAGGGAAATAGTTGGGTAGTTCACAGAAAGCATTTATCAAATTCTACAAGTTACTTCTTACGCTAATATTTATATACCACACGTAACTACAATTGGGACTACCTCCATCAAATTACCTAAACCTCTACAATTCATATATACCTGAGGTACCTCTTCATTTATGATTACCTGAAGCATTACCTGAAACAAGTTCAATAATGGTGATCTATTCAAATCCAGTAGGTCATTCACTGGAATGTTTGAATTTTTAAGTTCATGAATTTCCACTGCTTCTGAATAATTCAGTTTCAAACCTTTATTTTCTATATGTGAAATTAGAAAATTTTCGTTAAAGATTTGATTTTCTTCTAAAAGATGATTTGAATATGTTGAACTTGTTTTCTTATTTACATAGCGCGTATGATGTTCCTGAATTCGATTTCTGAATGTGATGGCAGTTTGACCAAAACGTTCCACACTTTCATTTATATACTCCTGATTTCTCCAATTTGAATGTTTTATCTTCATTATTTTTAACTGACTTTCCCAACGTATTACTGGTTCTATATGCAATTTTAATATCTCGTTTCCTCAAAAATGAAGCCACTTCTTCCGTTGTTTGTCCAAAATACGTTGAAGCTCTATAAATTTGATTTTGATTATCTAACTTATGAATAGGAAAAACGTGTCGAATCGCTTTTGCGCAAAAGTGCAATGTCTAATTGTCCCAATGGAAAAAGTATGCCAAGTTTGATCAAAAGCCTAGGTTTTGCTCACTGTTTTCCTCGATTACCGTGGCGTACTGCATAAGGAGTTCTTGTCACATGGTCGTACGGACAATATGGCGTATAGTTATATGTCGTTTGTGAAAAGCAATACGAAGAAACCGTCCGTTCCATTCGCCGTTGCTTCTTGTAATTTTTTGGGCAAAAACAACACCGTAATCATGCCTCAGCCACCGCATTCACCAGACTTGCCCCCCTGCGACTTTTTTCTGTTCCCATGATTGAAGATACCCATGAAAGGGGTCTGTGAGGGACTACTCTGGGATAAAATAGAAATTGAAGAATAAATAAATATTTTTTTTTCAAACGGACAGCTATGACTACGATGTATGCAAAAAGAACTGTCGCAGAAATGTGAAAATACTCATATATGATCTAAATTTCACTGATTCGATTCGATGTTTATTTCATTTATAATGCAAATCAAGGTGAGTGGAATTGAAAATACATTATGTGGCATTTATGTTCTCCAGGATGCTCTTATAGCGTATACGAAACGATGTTTGAGTTTATACAAAATAATATATCGCATACAAGGAACACTTTCATAATGGAAGATTTTAATATTAGTTCTATTAGTGGGGTGTAAATTATGACTATAGTATCTCAACTAGTGTAATAACTAGTTTTCAAGATTTCATGGAATTTAATAGTTTTGGGTTATTCAATGATGTTAAAAACTTCCAGAACAAAACATTAGATTTGGTAATCAGTTCGGAAAATAACACAAGCAGGTGCAAAGTGAGTAGGGACGAATTGCCTCTAGTTAAAGAAGATATGTATCATCCTGCCCTGAGTATATCAATTGATGATGGTTTTGGTAATAAACCGGATAAAAATACTCCTCAAGTGTTTATATATAATTTCAAAAAAGCTGATTTTGAAATTATGACTCACTGTATTAGGAAAGCTAACTGGAGTAAAATCTTACGCTAAATGCACACACACACCGATTTTGGACGGCCGATATTATACCGGTCGTACAAATTCCAATAGTGAACCATATTTGGGTACGGGACCTGGCACACACGCCGACCGGTGATCGGCGTCGATCACCGGTAGGCATGTGTGCCAGGTCCCGTTGCCACATGTGGTTCACTATTGGAATTTGGACGACCGGTACAAAGTCGGCCGTCCAAAATCGGTGTGTGTGCAACTAGCGTTAGAGGAAAAAGTAGATGTAAACAGAGCCTTAGGAGAATTCTATATCGTTTGGAATGAAATAGTGGAAGTTTGTGTACCTAAGTGTACAGTATATGATGGTAAAAAACGGTTTCCAATATGGTTCACTAAAGAGATTACAGATAACTTGAAAGAGAAGGAAAAATTTAGAAAGTTACGATTTACTTCTGATTTTTTTAATGACAGATATGAAAATTTGAGAAAAACAGTTCTGAATTTGATAAGAATAGAAGAAAAAAATATTTCAAAAACCTTGAACAAAATTTGGCAGAAAATATATCATATTTTTGGAATCACGTGAATGATAAGAGAAATACCTCTTCAAGTGAAGGTGAATTCACATATAAAGGAAAAACAATTAAAGATGAAGAAACAGTAGATAGTTTTGCAAATTTTTTTCTCCTCAGTGTTTTCCATCACCAAACCCAAATATAATTTGAATTTTGATTTGAGTAACAATAAAAGTAACGAAAGTTTTTCATTACATACAATTACCGATTCAGACTTTATCTACGCCGTAAAAAAACTGAAACATAAAAAATCATCATCAAAGCTTGTAGTGACTGATTGAAACAGCCACTGATGCATATTTTCAATTTGATTCTATCTACTAATGTGTTTCCTTCTGCATGGAAAACATCTATAGTATCTCCAATCTTTAAATCTGGCAATAAAACGTCTATTGAAAATTATAGGCCAATATCTATTTTATGTGTGCCCCAGCAAAATTATTTGAACATATTGTATACAGCAGATTATATCAGTTTGTTGAAAAGTATATCAGGGTGGAGCAAAACGGTTTTGTAAGAAATAAATCTATTGAGTCAAACTTGTTAACTTACACTCACAAAGCATATGGGGCACAGGAAAACAAATCTCAATTGGATAATATCTATACATACTTCCAAAAAGCTTTCGATAAAGTAGATCATGATATTTTATCGTTGAAGTTGAGTCATTATGGTTTAACTAAAAATACTCTCAAATTGTTTAAAAGCTATTTGAAAAACAGAGATTCTCTTGTAAAATATCATGGTTCATATTCAAGAAAATTTGAAGTTACCTCTGGAGTCCCACAGGGATCAAATTTAGGTGCCTTATTTTTTGTTCTTTTTATAAATGATTTGCCAGCAGTGCTGGAATTCTCAAAATGGCTAATGTTTGCTGATGGCCTAAAAATTTATAAACAAGTACAAGCAGTGAGGAATTGTGTAATGCTACAAAAAAATCTGATCAAGGTTTATGAGTGAAGTTGTGAAAATAAATTATTTTTCAATATTGATGAATGTTCAGTAATGTCGGTTACGCGCAAAAGAGACCTTATTCTCTTCAGTTATGAACTGAATAGGGTCCCTCTTGAAAGAAATACAGAAATAAATAACTTAGGGATTACATATAATAAAACATCATCATTCAAGAATCACGTAAGAAATATTACAAGAAAAGCAAATAAAATGTTAGGGTTTATTATCAGGCAAACTAGAAATTTCAGCAATATACATTCGATCAAACTACTGTGCTACACATTGGTTAGAAGTAAATTGGAATTTGGATCAAATATATGGTTTGGCGAATATAACTCTACATTATATGAATTGGAAAAACTTCAGAATGAATTCTTAAGATATCTTTACTTCAAAAAATATCACGTATGGCCAGACTACCGTTTAGTGAGAACATCTCATTTGAGAGATGAATTCAGGATACTTTCTTTGCAAAATAGGCGCAAAATATGTGTAATATCATTTTTCCATCGGCTTCTTAATA